TTGATTACATGTGCATGATAAGTACCGAACTTTGGTACAAATGCTGTGGATGCTAAGCATGTATTCTACTTGAATGCATGAGTTAAGGATGGACCAAACTTTTGGTGATGCAAATGACAAGTATGCATTGAGCTTGAATGAATGTGTTAAACAAAGTATTAGATATTAATGTGAATAATGTGGGTGTTGGACAAGTATTGGATTTGAATGAATGTACCAAACTATGATGTAATGAATGTCAAACATGTGCCAAACTCAAATGTAGATGATATAGATGTCAGACAAGTGCGATACTTTATATGCAAGTGATGAATTTGAATGCATGTATTAGGAAAGTACCAAACTTTGATACAAATAAAGTGGATGCCAAGTGAGCATTGGACATGAACAAACACTGCTCACGTTTTAATACAAATGATGTAATGCTTGATTCGGTGTTGGGATGCTTATGAGGTATTATTGACACATTTCATTTTATTTTTTTCAAAGAAAATCATAAAATGATTATTTTCTTTAGAGAAAGCAAATCCATGCAAAGCCCTTTTTGTGTCTCAATTATTCACTTTTTTATCCTTTTTCAAATCCATGAAATTTTGTTCTTTCCTTCTTTGTCAATCGTTGAAAAATGATCTCACAATTTATCCTTTCAAGCTTATCCCACCTAGAATCAAGTGAGACTCATTTGGCCTAACTTATCAATCGAACGATTATTACCATCTTGTCATTCCCTTTGAAGCATCATTTAATCAACATGCATAACAATGACAAATGTTTTTTTTGGAAGACTATTCAAAAAGGATATTTGAACGTGACTTTATTTTGATGTAGAGAAAATAGAGCAAATTACCCCAAGATATGACAAAAATTGAGAACCTGGTAGGAATAAGAGATTGAGCAATCGTCCCAGTTTGATGTCAAATTAATGGAGTGAAAGGTGAAAGAATTTAGACTAACTTGGACTTGAACAAGTGAGGCAAATGATTTACATCACTTTAGACTCGAGTGGATAGAATCAAACAATGACACATATGGGAAGGATAACCCGTATTTAGAATGGCGGAATATGGGTGATACAGGCATTGACTTGATTAAACTTGAGACACATGGATTATATGGTTGGAATGAAAATGTGATGATGGTTGAGAACTTGTCCCGGTATAAAAGGAGTATTTTGAGTTGCCCTAGTTTATCAAGAAATAGGGAACAAAGTTGGATTAGACAATTATTCCAATTGAAAGTCAAGGTGATGAAATGGCAATGAGATCCTTTGCCCTAGTGTGAAGTGGTTGTCCCAATTTAGTCTTGAAAGGCAGGGGTAGAATAGGAGACAATGATGAATGTGATTGCCTTGTTTTCTGACTCAAGGAAATAACATTGATGTATGAATTGATGGAGGAATAAGACATAGAATGAATGCCTCATTTAATTGGGTAAGGGGGAATCAAAGGAAGGCATGACTTGTGATTTGTTCCCAATCTAATCTTTTGAATGATTCTCATAATTATTGAGCATAGTAATCAATGAACATTGATGAATAGAAGATTTTGCACTGGATGTTTGTTTCTCTTCATGATATAATGGGTGTGCAAGTCTTATGAGTTTTTGTATTTTTTTTGTTTTTTTTTGGAGCAATCGTGTTAACATTGATAGATGAGTTCAATTGTTTTGTCTTAAGACTAAACTTTAAGAAAAAGCAACCAATTTTTTATCTGTATGGACTTTATCGGATTGTAACACTGGTCGATGAGATGGATATGAAAGAAAGGATACAAAGGCTCAAATGTGTGCTTGAAGGTTGTTTGAAACAAGGATTTTTGCTAAAGTGTTGGTTTCAATGCTTTATTCGGTTTCTTTTCCTTGCCCCCCTTTTGTTTTCACCCCAGCTTTTACCTAGGTTTTTCTTTTGGAGTTTGCAGTCTACTAGGTTGCTCTAACTTTTGTTTAGGCCGCCTTTTTGAGATTTTCAGCCTAACGAGCTCTTCTTTCTTTTATTTGTTTCCTCTCTTTTAGGCATAATATTTCTTTACTGCATCAGAATTTACAGGAAGCGATAAATCTTCACCATCCATATTTGTAAGGATCAAAGCTCCTCCTGAAAATGTCTTTTTCACCACATAAGGTCCTTCATAATTTGGAGTCCATTTCCCTCTGTGATCTTTTTGGTTTGGTAAGATCTTCTTGAGCACCAAATCTCCTTCTTGAAACTCTCGAGGATGAACTTTCTTATCATAAGCTCTTTTCATCCTTCTCTGATATAATTGACCATGACATAAGGCATTTAGCCTTTTTTCTTCAATGAGATTTAATTGATCATAACGAATTTGTACTCATTCAGCTTCCTCAAGTTTGGCTTCGGCCAATACCCTTAAGGAAGGTATTTCTACCTCAATTGGGAGCACAGCCTCCATGCCATACACGAGAGAATATGGGGTTGCCCCAGTAGAGGTACGAACAGAAGTGCGATGGCCATGCAAGGCAAAAGCAAGCATATCATGCTAATCTTTGTAAGTTACCACCATTTTTTGAACAATTTTCTTGATATTTTTATTTGCTGCTTCTACTGCCCCATTCATCTTAGGACGATATGATGAATAATTATGGTGTTGAATTTTGAAATTATCACACAACTCTTTCATCATTTTATTGTTCAAATTAGTTCTATTATCAATAATGATGTGGCTCGGCAAATCGTATCGACAAATTATATCTCTTTTGATGAATCTGACTACCACATTTCTTGTCACACTAGCATAAAAAGCTACTTCGACCCATTTAGTGAAGTAGTCAATAGCTATGAGGATGAAACGATGCCCATTTGATGCCTTTGGTTCAATTGGACCAATCACATCCATTCCCCACATTGAAAATGGCCATGGTGCAGCCAGAACATTCAAGGGTGTTGGTGGTGCATGGATATTGTCAGCGTATGCTTGACATTTGTGACATTTCCTCACATGGCTACAGCAATCAGCCTCCATGGTCAACCAATAATAGCCAGATCTTCAGATCTTCCTTGCCATTATATGTCCACTTGCATGGGTTCCGAATGAACCTTCATGGATCTCTTATCATGATTTCCATAGCTTCTTTAGCATCAACACATCTGAGCAATACCATGTCATGATTTCTTTTATAAAGTACTTCCCCATCCAAGAAGAAACTCATTGCCAATCTCCTTAAAGTTTTCTTGTCATTTTCTGAAGCTCCGGGAGGGTACTCCCTGTCTTTTAGATAGCACTTGATGTCATAGAACCATGGTTTGCCGTCTGGTTCTTCCTCTATTGCTTTACAATATGCGGGTTGACCTCTATTTTGTATTCTTATCAGTGGAACGTCTTTCCCTTGGCTAATCTTGAACATCGAAGACAGTGTAGCTAGGGCATCAGCCAATTGATTTTCCTCACGAGGGATGTGATGGAAAGTTATTTCTTCAAACTGTTCTATCAAATTTTTGATGTATGAGTGGTATGGAATTAATTTAGAATCCCGAGTTTCCCACTCATCTCTGAGTTGATGAACAACCAATGCTGAGTTTCCATAAACTTCTAACACCTTAGCTTTAAACTCTAAAGCTGCTAGAATCCCCATTGCACATGCTTCATGCTCTGCCACATTGTTAGTACAATTAAAACCCAACCTTGCGGTGAAAGGGATTAATTGGTTCTCGGGAGTAATCAACACTGCCCCAATTCCATGTCCTAGTGCATTAGACGCTCCATCAAATAACAGTGTCCACTTCTCTCCATTCATGGACAGAGTATTCGGCTCAGTGAAGAGAATGTACAGAGGCCGTGTAGAGAAAGCTTGAAAAATGAAGCCCCACCTCAACACCTTATATAGACTACTCGAGGCCACCCAAGAGGCTCACAATAAATGCACCTGAGCTCCAAAGGACACAACCCTAGGCACGAAACCCGAAGGCAGCGGTAGCATGCAACGGTCACAATCTAGACGACACAACTCCCAAAAATGCACACCCCCATACGTTATAAACCCTAAATCTCCCCGAGCCTCTTTAATGTAAAACCCCTTCGTCTTTCATCCTTGGGCTTGGGGGGAGTGTACTAGTAAGCACCCTTTCGGTCATGCAATAGGCCGAAAGGGGCGCCCAAACTAATGAAACGCACCAATTGGCACCCCTTCGGTCGGACAATAGGCCGAAAGGGGGGGCCCGAACCAAGGAGCCACACCAACTGCCCCCTCAGGTCAGGAAATAGACCGAAAGGAATGCCCTGGCCGAACCCCCCTTCGGCCCCAAGCTTGGCCGAACACTCCCTCGGTCTCGTGAGTAGCCAAAAACCCAGAGAAGGGATCTGAAGCTATTCAAAACACCCCTTCGGCCCCAAGCTTGGCCGAACACCCCTTCGGCCCCAAGCTTGGCCGAACACTCCCTCGGTCTCGTGAGTAGCCAAAAACCCAAAGAGAAGGGATCTGAAGCTATTCAAAACACCCCTTCGGCCCCAAGCTTGGCCGAACACCCCTTCGGCCCCAAGCTTGGCCGAACACTCCTTCGGCCTCAAGCTTGGCCGAGAACCTGAAGAAAGAGCCTATGATAAACACGTGGCAAGCCAACTGCCTACTTTGCATTAATTATCATACTAGATTAAGACAGGATTAAGGTTAAGTCATGTATTACCCATTTCCCAAGGATGAAGGCCCATCAGGCCCACATATGTCACTATAAATATACAGGTGGTGTGACATAAATGAGGTACGTTACTATTCCCGCTAATGCATTTATTGCTCTAAACCGAACACTGACTTGATCGTCGGAGTGCCTGTGCAGGTACCCTCCCCCACCACGTGGAGCTAGTGTTCGGTCAACACGGAAGATTCAGAAGGACTTGAAGGCAACTAGGAAGGATCAAGGAGAAGAGTGTTCTTACGCAGGAACAAAAAACATGCATAAAAATTACATTAAAAAATTAAGTTTATCCTTAAAAAGACTTGAATGCAATTTTTGTCATTGTAAAATTTCAATTTTGTTTAGCTTTTGTAAATTTTTTTTTCATAATTCATGTAATATACTTTTGTGTCTTAATTTCCCACCATCTCTATTAAAAAACACTTATATGAATCTAATTCATGTTATGTGTTGTGACGAGCATTTTTGTAACGAAATATTGTCACACAAAAATACTTAATGGAGTCACAAGCAATTTTATAATGAAATGACAAATTTTTTTTTATAAATATTACAAAGATCAATTCATCACAAACATTTTTTTTACGAGTACTAAAAGTAAAAAAATTGATATATTTATCGAAAAAAGTATTTAAATCCTAAAAAGTGTAATGAGACTGTATTAATTCTTTATGTTATATCATATTAGTCCTTTAATGATGATTAATGTTATTGGTTACATCCTATAAAACCTAAATTAATCATTTTAAAAATAAATTGTAATTTTAAAAAAAATTATAAGGTTTAATATATTTTTGTCTATGTAAAATACGTTAGTTTTGGTTTTTAAACTTTGAAATTATTATTATTTATTTCTTATAAGATGATTTTTTTTTATACTTTTGACCTATTCATTTCTCTAAAATTTAAAATTATTATTTTTAATTAATTCCTTAACATTTATTATAGAATAGATAAAAAAAAAAAAACATTTATTTAAGGCTCAAATTTTCTTTTTTGAAAATTACGTGTTGGCATGACACCACATACTCATTATTATGTGATCACATTACCTTTTATAAGATATATAACTTGTCATACAACAACAAAGACCAAAAGTATTAATTTTAGGTTCTAAAGGGGTGACAATAAAAACAAAATAAAAATTCAAAAGAATTAAAACTAAAATCTACTTGTTTTAGGAAAAAAAAAACATTTAAATATGTATTGGGACAATTTATTTAAAATTAAAAATAACAATAAAAATACTTTATAATCCTTTTACAAGAATAAATAAGAGCTAGTTCTTAAAAAGGAAAAAAGAAAACTCAATAAATGTAAGATCCTACAATTTTTTATTTTTTTTTGTGTGTGTAGTGTTATTAGTGTAAGGTCACAACTCACAAGTGTAGTTAGGCAGTTCCACTGAGAAATAATGCGAGTTCTTATGAGAAGTTCCAAATTCACTCTTTGAGCATTTTCACTTTGTGATGGCCACTAATGGATCCGATACCTTGCTTTCACATGTAGTTATAGCATTTTGCACACATCACACACCCCTTCAAAAGCCACGACAAAACATACAATATAAAAGAGAAACCCACCCCTTTAAGCCTCCAATGCCACATCACCATGTATAAAGACACACACCACACCACCTTAACAAAATGAAACTAAAACAAGAACAACTTGGGAAGCACCAAAGAATGGACGAAGTAGCAAAGATCCGAAAGAGGTTCGGTGACGAACAGAGCACTCTCTTGGACCAATTCGAGAGACTCTCCTTCGAGTCTCACCTCAACAAAGCCATGCTGCAAAGGAGCCTATCAGAGCCAGCGTTTCCGAGGTCCGTGTCACAGCCAAGGCACGTTAGCGTGACCCCAACGATACCTCTCTTGAATCAGAATCAGGGGAAGCAAAGGCGTTGTCGTGGGTCACGGTTTCACAAGGCTTTGAAGAAATTGCTTAGGCCCATTATTGGTAGAAAGAGTGGTGCAGAAAGGAAACAAGCCCCAGATCCTAAGAATCCACTCTCTTGGAAGGCTTTCACCAGATCACTAAGGTTCTGACTAGTGCATTCACTTCTTCTTACATTCATTTTAATTCTTTTTTCTTCTTTGTTTATCATCAACTTAGACTTGTATCTGACTATCATCAACTAGTATCAGGTGATTGTAATGACCAGTGAATAATGGAACAATAATGCTTTCTCCTCAAAATGATTAAGCACATAACTTCCATTTACTTTTCTGTTGTTTGTGCTATTTTCAAATCAAAACCAACATTTTACTTTATTTATTCGTATATTTTTTATTTATTAAAATTATAATCACGATAAAAGAATTTGAATATAAAATTTTGTACATATTATTATTACTTCAACTTTCACCATTAGATTGACTCTAATAATTTATTTAATTATATATCTATACTAATTTTTAAACTTGAATCTTTTTTATAATTTCGCAATTATGGAAAAAAAAGTTATTACAAATTTAATCTTTCTAATTTTCAAAATTAAGGAATATTGTATCATTCATTAACATATCTAAAGTTAAATAAAAAATGCTAATGTGCTCGTGAATGATATTGCTTAGGAGCTACTTACTCATGTTGGCTTCCAAGAACAATATTGTCTTTTACTACTTACATTGTATTTATTTGTTTATTTCAATTAAAATTTATAACACATTAAAATATTTTATTAAATTATCAATATTGCAATTTCTTATAATTATAATAAAATTATCATATAATGACACACATCCTATAGTGATATTACATTTGTTACTAGAAATTACTTTTATATATGTAATAGATATAATATATGTTGATATATTATTAAAAAGTATAAACATGGGCTATAATGACATATAAAATATGTTGTTAAATCTCATTTAAAATCAACATTAAGATTGTGTGTAACTATATGTAAAATAGAAATATATATTAACATATATCGTACCTATAGTAACACTTTTTTATATATTATTATATGTAGCATTTCTTACCGTGTTGGCGTCTAACAATTTGATATGTATCGTACAAAGACACATAAACATTTTCTATTCAATTATGGATGACATGTTAATAGGAGGAAAACATTGCTTAATTTTAAAAACTATGGAGAGTAAATTTGCAATAAAAATTTTAGAGATCAAAATTACATAAAATTACACAAACCACAAGTATATTTAAACCTAAATTTTAATACAAAGCTTTATTCTCATCATTAGAAAGATAAAATTCTAATTTTGAGTGTTGTCTACTAAAAATACAAATAAAATTATGTATGTTTTGTGAATGGTTATACCTTGTCTTTGATATTAAGAAATTTATTAAGTGTAATGATTGAAAGAAATATGTTGGAAAAAATTTAGTTTTCTAATTATATATATAGAGAAGACTTTATTGAGTAAGGTAACATCAATTCAATGATCTCTATGTAGTAAAAGAAAAATATAAATTATCGATAGATATTTTTCAATGGATATCAATTTATCAGAAAATTTAAATTTTTGATGGATTTTATTGACGAAAAAATTTGTAGAAATATTAATGTTATCAATAAAATATTTTTGATGAATTTATTTTTTCAAAAATGTCAGAATTTTTTACTAATGTTTGAATCAAAAAATTTTGACAAATAGTTCGTAAAAAATTTCATAGTATCCAATGAGGGATTTCTAATGGAAATTGTGTGATACTCTCTACCCCATATACATAATACATAATAAATATAAAGTACATTCTCGAATAAAAAAAACTTTCTTAATCGAAACAAGGTTCCAAAACACATAGATAGAGAGTTCACATTCATATTTTACAAATCATAGTCCAATGCGGAAATGATGACAAAATAAAATATTAATCTTTCCAAAACTCAATGACAGTAATGAAACTCCAATGCTAATCCTAACTAAGCTCCGATGTCACAAGTCCTATCAGAGCACACCCCACAATAAGACTTAAACCTCATCACCAATATCCTCATACTAATGATTACTTGCAACACAATAAAAATACACATAAAGCAACAAGGGAGTGAGAAACATCTCACTCTGGTTTACACTACAAGAAAAATTGTTATTATCTACGAAATTTTTTCCGTAGATAATATTTAGTT